AGCAGTGTAATTTCTGTAAATGCTACTGAAATTATTTTTCCTTCAATTCCAAATCAGTTTCATATGTGAGTAAATATAGTTTAGAATTTATCCTAAGATTCCATTAAATTAAATTCCATTAGGACCTCTTTCGTTTTGGCAGATGTCAATTCTTTCGAATATATGTATCTTAAATGCGTGTTCTTGTGTATCTAAATTCCTTCACTTAATTGAATAAAATCTAAGTTTTAATAATGTTTATTATTTAGTACGGCCCAGCTCTAATGTTCTTAAGTGGAAGCCACGGGTCGGTTAAGATTTTATGTTTTATTTCACCAAATTCCCGGTGCATACTCTCGAGATCACGGCATATGGTTTCCAACAAACATATGAAATCTTAAGATATCCATAAATCCAAAATAAATATTCAACATCATTTTAATTATGACAGTTGCTGTTTTTATATACCCACGGCGTTCAGCGCGGAATTAATTGGTTCCAAACGTCATGGAACTCTTCAATGAGGAGTATAGAAAGTGCTGTTGACGGGTTATGGTTTTAAATCTCGGAATGGTTCCACATTCATCAAATATGTCACGACGCCTCGTACGATCTTCATTAATACAGCATAAAGAAAATTGGCTGGCAGACAATGCCTGTGTATAAACACTCTTGGAATAATCCTTTGTAAAAACAATGAAACATCATGTCTAGAAATTTACAATTATCAGCTCCTGAAAACCTTATGGATGGAAATATTTTTATTGAAATGAAAAAAAAAGCGTTTCAATAATGATTATAAATTTTACACTATGTTGATAAAAAAAAGTTGCCAAAAACAAAAAAGGTGTATTGTGAAATTTTAATTTGTTCGTAATTGAATAAAAAAGAAGATAAATTCTGTATTAAATATTTAAAACCCTAAATGAGTAACGAATGTTTTTTGTTTTGTTTTTTTCATCTAAGATATCATGGCAAGTAAGTCTAACATTCAAGACGTAAAAATGGACATTCTGGGGTATAAAGGTAAATTCTGAAAATACGGCCACCGGTTCCTTGTTTTAAACAAAATGAAATTAAATTGATCGGAAATAAAGAATAACCGAAAGCACTGTAAGTTCTGTAACTATAGTGTAGTCTAAATGTACTGATGTTTTTCTTTCCTCTATCAGCAACCATTGAAACAATACGCCGTTTGTTCTACCACCTATTCGACAGGTGCCGATATATGAATTACATTTTCTTTTTGATTTGTGTAGATATCACTTGAAATTAATGGCAAAAATCTACAATAAAATATCATTTCTCTAAAATTAATCTGACGTATAATTAATGCGCAAAGCACTCTTCCAGGAAGTGAAATCATATGCCAACTGCACGCCGAAATCTTGAGTTTTAATCTAATTATGTGGCAGACGCAGGATGATGAAATTCCGATCTCCGAATCTCCGTTTCTCGTGCATTCCTGTGTTCATCGTAGTCATTCTTTTTCTTACATTAAATATCAAGTTTCCAGATATGATTAGTGAAATTTCGATTTGTATGGAAGCGTAACGCGGAACATTCTTTCCGTCATTACTTCCCGATGATGGCTTTGAAAAGCGTTAAGAACAGGTCCATGCCGAAAAGCGTTTGACGTATTGGTATATTCACGTGATTCCGTTCACGTGCTTCAAGCAGTCTCATGAAAGCGTTTGATTTGGGATATAAAAATATGCCGTTAACGGATCATTAAAGCATTTGACTTATGATGCTAAGATACGCACGTGCTTTGGTTAACGCGCTTTGATCAGTTTTTTGAAAGCATTTGATTATTAATATAAAATCATGCGCTATAAACAGGTCAATAAAACGTTTGACATTATTATTGAAAATATTCACGTTCTTTCATTCGCGTGCTTTTTATCAGTGTCATGGAAGCGTTTGATTTTGAATACAAAATCGTGCTTAATATTGACGTCACTGTATTTTCAAGCGTTTCGTTGTCGCGCTTAAGAACTGTTCAAATCGACCAATCTGTTGATAACGAATTACATCTTTTTTTCTGTGCCTAGGTTGGCATAGTTTGACATCAAATGTTATTAGAATTCATTTTTTTTTTCAGTAACATTTCTTTTTTGCGTTTCCAAACGAGTTCTGTAATGTTTTCTGCACGTTAATTTCGGGTTTTTCCAGCACATCCAATCAGACGCTTTCCCACCATATGTTTCCGATAGGCATTGTATCCTTATGGAAGTTTCGCTATTTATTTAACAAAAATAGTCTGGTTTAAACTAAAGATGGGGGAAATCATTGATATTAAGATTAAGCATTTTTAATGGGATTTTCTGTCTTATTTTAAAGGGTAATGCAACTTTTTTACATTCTATCTGTCTATACTATTGAACTATTAAATTATTTCACAGTTAAAAGATAAAGACCTAATGTTTATCATAGACGATAATATTTCTTTGTAAAATGTTTAAATTTTCATACAATGTGTCAATGCCCCTGTTAAAGTGTATATAAAATATCTTATCTATATATCAATCAAATATCCATCATCCAATGTAAATAAAACAGATACTGTATTAAAACCTAAAGCCATGATACGTTTCCTTTCATCAGCGTATCTCTTACCATAATCACTGAATCATTCCGAATATTTCCAGCAAATCTCAAATCAAAAGTTACATTAATTCTTCGCTTATATCGCATTGTCTTTCAAAGAAATAAACAAATTTTGAATTTATGAGCGCGCCGATGATTTATCGCGGAAAACCCACCCTTTTGGCCGTGTGGGGGCCGATCCTATCGCCCATCATTGTTTTAATATCTATATAATCTAAGGGCTATCTTTCGTCATAATCTGGCAAATATCTAAATCAACGTATTAACTTCCAGCTTCACGGTGTATTTGTTAGTTTCAACTGACATCTCGTTTCATTCTTAATCCGGCAAGTATCAGGCAATATTAGTGATAAGGAACTTGATGACGGCTATAAAGATTCCATAAAGATTGGGTCAGATCGTTCTTCTGTATCAAAAAAGCGCCTGTCAACTTTCCACGTGAAATCTCGTTACCGATTTACGAGAATGTATGAGAAATAAAAGAATTTTCCTATTCTGATCTATCAAGATATGGGGCTTATAAGCCATCATGGTATTATTGTGTTGACTGGGTATAAGTTCCTTCGATGGAAACCAATAATTAAATATCTCATGGCAAACTTAACCGTGTGATAATTGTATCGACATCAAGCATATGGACACAAAGTGACCTATGGAATAATTTTCTTTGCCCGGTGCATGGTTGTTGTTGTTTTCCACTTCAAGATTTAATTCTATTTTTCTTATAAATCATTATTTATTTGCACTTTTTAGTTAATTTTGTTGTTCTATAGTTAATTTGTGTGTTTTTAATGAAACCCATGCGTATTAATATTAATAGTTTAACGCATGCATGTCATGTCATTGCTTAAAATTGACTTATCAGTTAATTTTAGAGCATGTTTGTCAATGTAATACACAAACTATTATTTTTTTCAATGCAAAAAGGTTGACATTAACCCAATATTATTGACTATGTCTTCTTTCTTTTGCAGATTCTTCCTGTGTAGCCAAATCAATGGTGTTTGATTCCGTTCTTTTAATAATAAATGATATATAACATTTATAACGTCTGGAAATATTAATTAAGCGCTAAGTTATGAGGTTTTAGGGGTAGTAATATTTTAAATAGACAAAATAGTTCCAATTTTTTTGCCTTTGATATATTTATAGCCGATAATGATTGCATTATTTTTAGAGTCTAGTGGAACTAATTCTCAACACGGGGTGTACCTCTGCAGCAACAGTGATGGGTTGACGATTTTTGTTATCGGCATGATCGGAAATAAGGCAGTTTGATTTGCAATTTCGACACATTTTTCCCCTAAGTTTGTGTTTTGTGTTTTTTTTTTCCTTCTCTAAACAAATGATAACCAAAAAATATCAAATAAGAGTATTGAATCACTGTACTCTTTGAAGACCGAGACAATAAATCGTATCAACAGAGTATAATGGGCCATGGCTCGTTGCCTCAATTACTTAATATTTAATACCGTCGGGGATAAGGCGCCGGGCTGGTCACATGTCGCTACTACTAAAAGACGACTGAGACCTGTATAAAGTTAATTTAGATGATGTTATTTCTTAATATGCTTTTAATATCACTTATCAATTTAAGTGGGTAGTTATCCATTCAGGAGAAAACAAGGTGCAATTGTAATTTTCTACGCTGTTAAATCGATTAATCACTCAATTACAATTGCGGATTGATATTTAATTCTTATGACTGATCAAAGCGGAGAGAAAATAGTTCGGGTTGGTGGCTTAAAGTTAAGATGTTTGGGTGAGTTTACCTCAAAGAAGCCTTTTATTCTTTATTCATTAAGCTATGTGTAGGTTTGTTTTTGTGTGTGAAATGCTTAATAATGAGTTGAACAAAATGTAGGTGGCTTATGATGAAATTAATGTCTTGCTGGCGAAATTTACCATACCGGAAGGATCATGCAATAGTGTTGCGGTTTTCTTCAGTATAGAACTCTGGTGTCGCAGTTTTAGAATATAGAAAGTGAATTTTTCACTAATAAGTCTAAAACATGTCCAGGAACGCATGACGAAGTTAGTATTGTGACTATCAAACGATAAAAATGTATGTATAAATCCACATAGCTATTAAAACATTTTATCAAAATCTTTGTTTTGTAAAATGAAAGATGTTATCAAACTTTTGATTACATGTTTCAGTCACAAAAGATACTTAGCAACCAAGGGGGGAAGGAGTCTAGTAGGTTTGCATAGGCGGAACTATAGATGGTCATTGAAACGGGGGTTGAATGAGGAGTCATGCATTTGTTGCTTAAACCAATCGGAACACCTCGCCGATTTATCGTAATCATCTCGGAGGTCCTTATCCGAAGTTTGAATGAAATGACCGAAAAGTTGCAAATGGGGCTAAAATGGTTTATTTAAGTCTAGTGTAAAAGATATGTACATACCTCGTTTCTGCATAAACTGGAAAAGATCGTCAAGAAATTCTTTCCTCTTAGGATCATCACTGATTTCGTACAACTGTAATAAACCAAAAACAACATAAATAAAATACACGAAATATCATTTATATGTTCAAAAACAATTACATGTATACTTTAAAAAATAGTAATATCTAATGCCAATATTGATCCTGACGAAGGGGGTCAGGTTGATATAAATTCAAAATGATGTTCTAGTCGAAAGGAATTAAATTCTGAAATAAAACCCAAAAATAGTTTTAATTTTATATACGTGTATTTTCTATGGCTATGCGATTGAACTTAATTGATTTGAAAACTTTGGTACCAATAGATCTACATGGTATATAAACATTTTTAGGATGCTTAAATTTACTGTTCTTGTATGTTTGGCAAGTCATGTTAATATTCAAGTGCCTTTAATAGAAACTTAATTGGAAATATGAATATAAATGGAATAACTTTTTGAAATGTTTACTATTCTTGTATGTTTAATTTAGCTTGTTATTTTCCAATTGTCTTCATTGGAAAGCTTAATTGTAAAAATGGAATAACTTTTTGAAACGTTAACTATTCTTGTATGCTTCACAAGCATGCATATTTTCCAATTCCCTTTATTAGAAATAAATTGTCAAAAATGGAATAACATTTTGAATCGTTAACTATTCTTGTATGCTTTACAAGCATGCATATTTTCCAATTCCCTTTATTGGAAACTAAATTGTAAAAAAAATGGAATAACTTTTTGAAACATTTATTTTTCTTGTATTATTTGCAAGCTTGATATTTTCCCATTGTCTTTATTAGAAATTTAATTGTAAAAATGGAATAACTTTTTTGAAGCAGACGAACGTGCAAGTGCACTTGTGTCAAAAAAGGACGATCCAAATATAACACATTCAAACTTGAAAATTGTAAAATAAATCTTCCATGAATGGGCTAGTTTGTCAATAACAGATAAATTTGAAGGCCGACTTCTTTTTTTAAAAGTACAGACATATATTCAAATAATTTGAAATTAATCACGCTATAAAATTCTGATTAAATATCAATTATGTATTCGGTTACATTCTTACCACTTCACTATCTTAGAGGTTACGATTTCAACAAAACGAATTAATTTGATAAAATTTTTGAACACCCATTACGACTTGTATGCTGTTAAAAAGATTGCGAGAGATAGTAAAAATAAAGATCCAAGGTTTTGATGGGGTTGAATTTCAATTTATCTGACAGATGAAAAAAATTAAGAAAGCTTTTTTAATATTTGTCGGTAGGACATGAGGGCTATCGAATTTCTGAAAAATATCAATATTTGGATTAAGATACAAATTATGTTTATGTAGGTAAATAAGTACATTTATAAAGAACTATATATACATATGGATTAAAATGATATGATACTACCCCTAATTAACCGCTGTTTATAAACAACTGTTATTTTGAAAGAAATATTTCATTACATTTCAAGTCTTTAATTGATTGTTTGATTGATTGAATGAATGGGAAAATTGATGATTTTGTGAGTATATTCCTAATTATGACAATCGTTTTACAGTTCCATGTTCTTTATTCTTGTCTGTATTGAACTGACATTAGCATGGGCCTTACAAACATATCAACAAATACATGTACATGTATATATTTTTATGTCTTTTATTAAACTCGCGTCTTATCAATGTACTTTGAAATAAAGCCTGATTTCGGATACGATCAAAATTCAACCAATAGAACAGATAGAGCCGATGTTAATTGTATTTAATCTCAACAAATGATTGGAATCGAACGTGTTAACTACGATATACCCGCGATTAGACCAAAACAACAAAAACAACAAGATATTTAAAAGATAAAATTTAAATTAACAGGTCTATGTTTTTTTATCATTATAATGATTATATCCATTGTGCCTCGTTTCTTATGTCATATCTACCATTGAGACGGGTTCTCGAGTTATGAATCTTCCTAATTCATCGCGTTAAATCTTTAAAAATCATTAAATCATTGTCTTTAATCAACGAGCGGCCATCTTGAGGTACCCGTTAATGATTAATTATTGTATTTAATCATGTTTGTAGATTCTGATCTAACGTGACGACGGGTTGTCTGACAGATAGGTGATTTATTTCTTGTTGTATTGTCACCCCGTACACATCATTTTGATCGCGACATCTTTTGCAATCTGCATGTCAACCGCCAACACCCCTCCCCGCACCAAACCCTGCCCAGTTTTTGCTTTATGCACTATTAAACACTTTTCTATTATATTTTGTTTTATGTATCGTTTTAATTAGTTTATGGCGTTATTAAATTATTTTGTATTTTGTTCAAAGTTGGTTATATGGAACGCGATTTCTGTCCATTGAATTTTGGAACTATCAAAACCGACTATAATATTACAAAATTAGGTTCTGTATTTAGTACAGTCCCAAATTGATGACATCGACAAAATAAAACAACAAAAATAACAAAAACATAAAAGCAGAAAAAGACCTGGAAAAAGAACACCTTAACATCAAAGACACGTCTTTGCTTAGAAAGACCCCTTTTTACAGATAAAAATCACCTTTGTACGTACAGAAACAAGATGGTTAATGAATAAGTGTTTCGTGTTAAACATATTTAATTAAGAAATAGATTTACAAATATTGTGTAACGATGATTATGTATAACAATGAATTAAATTTGAATTATATTTGAACTTTATATTTGCTGCGATGAAATATGAAATATATCATTCACTGTATATCATTCATTTTATTTTTGTATTTCATTTCAGAAATAAAAAAGGAGAATAACCTGTATACACTTGGTCTGTTTTTCTGGGTATGATAATATCAATTTTATGTCACATTTGATAATAATGATAATTATTTTATTGTACTAAATAAAGACAGTATGGCTGCCATGACAACACCTCTTAATGTCACGTGAACAATAGATGTTTTATTGTTTAATATAACATGGCAGTAATTCTGCTTTATAACGTGTTTTACGAACTGTTTAATGCCCATTATGTATTGAAAGTTCATTAATAATCGAACATATGTCATCAGTATAAATATTATTAACTGCCCGTTTTGAAGTCATAAATTGAAGCTTGTACATGATGTAAGTAAAGATAAACATTGACACCTTTGGCTGCCGGACATGTATCTATGTTGTTATTAATTTATTCTTCACGTGAACATGACAGACGAAATCTTAATCAAAATATGATGCAAGTCGGACTTGTCCAATCTGCCGCCAAGACCGTCTGCAAGATTACTAAATGGTCTGCCTCGTGACGTAATATTCTTGAAGAACAAGTCAACTAATTACAGGTCTTTGGAAAATTGAGGCTTAGTACTGAACAACAACAACAACATCAAAAGTTTTCAGGATGCGCTTTCCTCCGGTCCCCGGGAGATATGTCGCTGTAATCATTTCTACCGTAACCCGTAATGAGATTTTTAAAGATTATCTAACAAGTTTAAAGGGGACGGGACGTATGCCATACTTCAATCGAGGAAACGACAATACGTTTTAAATCATTTAAATTTTTAGCATTTTGAAAGACATCTTTATTTATTTTTAAGTTCCAAATAGAATTTTTCTATGATATGAATATAATCATCGGATCACTAAACGCTTGCATTTTTTTACACAGTAAAGTTTTTTTCATTATTGAATTGAAATTATTCAAAGAGAGAAAAATATTATCTTTGATAAATTTAAATGGCTCTTGAATGGCATCCGAAATGAAAAAGCAATTCACCGGCTTTGAAGTGTCAGTTTATTTACAACAAATAAAAATACATGTAACGGCACGCGACATGAGTAAACAATTCCCGCAAATTGTTTAGAGACGTCATTTCCTGAATAAATCGCGCGCTCGCTCTGTACAAATGCGTATTTTATAGTTACTGTCGGTCTCCATTGATTTGTAATTCATTGACTTTTATAGGGACAAGAGTCTTATATTGTTTGATATAAATGTCGGACAAATAAAACTTAACAAGGCGTAAATGGTTTCACACTGTAATAAATTGTAAATCGATTTTGATACAATTTTATGTAAATGGTCATTATTCGGTCCCGCTTATGAACCAACATTTTCATTTAGCACCAAGTATAGAATGACGCCTTATACCGGAAATAAAACGAACTCTATATAATAACACCTATTAGACTAAAACCTATAAAATCTAACAATAAATTGATGAAAATTTGTTTTAAATCAATGATTTGAACCAATTAACAAATGCGAGTCAATTGGGTAAGATTGGGGGCATTTTTCTATCTCCAACATCGGAGAGGTGTTTGACTGGCAGATGGTAGTCTAGAAAAGAACCCAAAGAAAATTAACTATTGATTTGTGATGTCAAATTACTCGCGATATGTCTTTTTAATACTTTTTTTTTCAATAAAAGATGTCTGGATAGTTTTGTTTTTGTTTTTGCTCAAGCGGGGGAAAACAATCCAAAACAATCGTCTGCAACATTTATAAGAAATGCATAGTTTCGACAATAAATAAATAAATGAATAAAAGAATAATAATAATAAAAATAAATTTATGAATTCTATAAAATATATGAGCATTTTTTTTTTATAGTTTTCATTATTCTTTTCTTTTGTATGTCACAATGGCACAATGGCGTAGGAGTTCCACCTAACTGTGTTGCATGAAAACTCCGCGAGGCATGGCCGTCACGCGCTATAGATTCTCGCGGCGCGTTCCTCTTTTGACGTCAACTATTATCATTATGGAATAACCTACTAAACGCACTATTCTTCACAATAGAAGTACATCAAAAAACTACTTGGTGCATTTCACAAATGTATTATGCATTAGTGGCATTTTTGTCTGCACAAATGGTTAATATGTTGTGCAGAAAATACGTTTTTTTTAATCAACATGTAGAATCCGCGTCCGTCACATCCTGTAAAGAATGGCTGAATAATTAATAGTAACTTAATTGTACACGAGAGTCATTTTTTTTGCTTATAAATTGAGCATAAGTACTATTGATATCTCTTGGCGCGGGTTTGTTCTGTATGGCCAAAAATAGAAATCGAACAGTCGTCGAGTTCAATGTAGTGCATTTATTTTTGTATTCCCATTGTATTAATTGTGATAAAATGAATTTAAAGTGATATAAAAGTCAATAGTTTATTTATTTATTTATTTATTTATTTATTTATTTATTTATTTATTTATTTATTTATTTATTTATTTATTTATTTATTTATTTATGACGTCACATTCAATTTTGTGACGGTCTTTTTTTATTTCATGACATGGATTGAATAACTTCTTTCAGAATCCTATTCAATAATTGCAAAAGTTCATTTTACAATGTTAATATTTTATACATGCACCGTTTATCAAGCTGATTGAAAATTGATTAATATAATATAATCGTTATTTAATTATATGGGGATAAAAAATAATTTTACTTGAAGTAAAACATAAGAAATAATATTTTTATAAAAAATAAACTCATCTTTTAAAAATATAATTTTAATGGAAACCTTTATCGTGCACTGTTTAAAGAATCGCGTATAAGTTTGTCATAGTTTATGGTACAGAATTACTTATTTCGAGTGATAAAAATCTCCTCCCAAAAAAACAACTGAATTTTATTAAAGTATTTTAAAAGTTTGTAAATCACTTAAGCAGTATATGTGTATATTTAAACCTACTTATTGTACAAATAAAAATAAATCTATTAAAATTCACTGTAGTTTAGAGAAGAAGAAAAAAAAGAAGAGAAATTGGGAGAGAGAAAAAAAGGGAATTTCTCGAGGGCTTTTAGCTTGTTGGAAATATGTATCAATTTATTTAATGATACCAGTGTATGCTTGCGCATTGTAGTGTATGATATTAGGTGATATAACTAACCATTAATAGTGCATTTTATTTCCAAAATTACGATTTTTCTTTACCGATAATATAGATGAAAAGGGTAATCATAACTTATAGTAATGTATTTTAATTATAAAATAAGGTATTTGATATGCTTATTGGGATGTGTGTTATCTACAAATCACATTATATATTAATATATATAAAACTTAAAATTGCAATATATTTTATATATAATATATATATATATGTATAAAAATAAACGAGGGGTACATTATCATAATCCATGCTTCACGTGGCTGGTAATCCGCAGTTAATCTGTTCATCTACTATCTCTATATACCACACTATTTTATCAGTATCTCTCACCATCCGTTCATGCAGATTTTGATAAGCAGAATTCAGATTTTTTTTTGAAGTTTGACAGAATCCAGAAAAACCTTGTCAAATTTTATCAGATTAATCATAATTTTAGAATTAAGGCGTATTGTTTGAACGATTTTCCTTTCCGACGAGTTAACATGATTAACAGTTTAAAAGGTAAAGTGATGCTGGAAAAAGATGATATAGTTATAAAACTGATGATGACGAGGACGATGATGAGGATGATGATGGCGATGATGATGATAATAGTGATCTTAAGGAAAATACAGTATGACGGTCAGTTATATTTAGAATAATAATCAACAAATCATCAAATATAACAAGTTTTGATGCAACAAACAGAGATGATGATGATAATGATGATGATGATAAAGAATATATTGATCTTAAAAATAATACACTATAGCAACGGTCAGTTATTATACTAAAATTTAGAATAATAACTAATAATCAAAGATAGTCCTGGTGCATCAAAGATATTGTTACCAACATAACATTACCAGTAGTAAAAGCACCCTGTTTCCATTATAGTTCTTAACATGAACTATAGGTCGTGATCTTTCACAAATTTACTACCTTTTGTAATTGAACCAAAATGTGCAATGCATTTCTTTACATGCAGTTTTCAAAACCAATTTACTCAAAATCGTATTTTTTAAACAGATCAATAAGGAAAAAGTCAGGCTATATGTGCAAAAGTTCATACCTGTTTGAATTGTTCTTCGAATGTCCAGTGGTGGGAAGGTCCATCTCCGAGGGGTGGAGTCGTGGAGGTGGTACTCTCAGGGGTCTGAGACCTGGGATAACCTGCTGTAGCCGCTGACATGGCTGCCAGGTAGGCAGGGTGATTGTAAATGTTTATTGCTGGGGATGTGTACCCCTTTAACACGTTTTCTCTCAATGTTTTGTAATCCTCACGCTCTCGTTCAAGTTTTTCTCTTTCACTTTTATTCACTCTTAGGTCCTGCCCTAAATCTTGGTCCATTATTTTATCCGAATGTCGGAATTCCCGAATTCTGTTCAGGTCATTGTGTTTTCTCATGTGTGATAACACATCTTCGTGTGCTTTTAACTCACGTTCAATTTCGAGTCTTTCTTCCTTTTCTTGCATTTTAAGTTTTTCATATAGTTCGCGGTCTGAGGGATCGAGTTTATCAATTTTATCAATCGATACGTCACTGACGTGGTCAACGCCGTTTTCACTGACGTTAGCGTCCGACTCCATGCTTCGGTCATGCGGTCGATCTCCGCTGGACTGCAAAAAAATGAGACAAATCAGTTAATTTGTTGCGACATAAATAATTCTAGTTTTTCTATCAATAACCAATATATGATGTAACTAACAAAATCAGTTCATTATACGAATAATTTATAGCAATATGAAGGTCACATGTTTAACGTTTTATTCCTATTGATATCAAATTACTTTTAGAATTCATATAAATATTTTAGTATTCAGCAATATCAAATAGTTGCTAAATAATAGAATGGTTATACAAATTAATTCAGATTTCCATTGTGCACGCTAATTCAGTATTTATATTATTGCATATTATAGTTTTCAGCGCATAGACAATCAATTAATTCCATATATATAATATTTTTGTGAGTGAAAATACCATGTACTGTATGCGTCAAGTAAATTTTGTAATATCTCTTGCTGTTAAACAACAATACATTTTTTGTTTCGTGGAGTATTAAATTATATTGAAGATAGTTTTGACTTATATTTCAGAATTAATTGTCTGTAACTCAAATGTGATTATTAAACACAATAACTTTTATTCTTAATCAAAGGCATCCTATAAAATAAACTTTAAAATATTTTTTCGTCGTTATTTTATTTACATTAATGCACGTAAGTGTCATTAAAACATAAATGATACATTGTGTATGGAATGGCAGCAGGATTTCCAGTGCATGCCACAGAGACGATATTGCACAATAAATGTGTAAATGTATGAATTAAGTAATTAGCGCGTGATCTCGTGCACGGTAAGAGTAACTAATCACCAGCGTTAATTAAACGATTGTTTATGTTTATATCCTATCCAACAAAGAAACACTATCCTAACTGTAAACATTCATATGAGAATCGTCATATGGGACCACTTGAAATGCACATATATCCAGCTTTCACGCACACGTGAATGAAAATGTGTATTTATTATTTTTTTATTTAGTGTCTTAAGAGAACGAATCACTTAATGCAAACACCCTGTATTTCCTATCTTTAAGTATTAACACAAGATTTTTTTTTATATAAAATAATATTTATCAATTAATTTTCCCACTGTTTTCCATGTAATGTTTTATTTTATTTTTTAAATAAATGCTTAATCATTTTTTTTTTAATTTATCATTAAAATAATTTCTAAAAAACATAAGATAATTCCATGTAAAAAATGCAAGTGCGATTTAAATGCTATTTAACAACTCCAATTTAAATAGTGTAAAAAAGCTTACTATATGCAAATAAAAATCACTACCGTTGATTTTCGTCTATAATTTTATTTAAATGAATAAGTTTATCTATTTATTTATATTTTTCGAAATAAAAAATCTTACACTTGCAACACTTCCTGCCCCATCCAAACTATTGTCATCCCCGGACATTTTTCCTACTCCTAGAGACTTTTTTGAAAGATCAACAATCATGTATGCAGTAGATACCCGACACACGGCAAATGATTATAATATTTCGTTTTCTTTTACTTTATATCAATAGACTCAATAATCCAATCCAAATTCTTCAATTAATGGAATATGCACGTGACTGTTTTAACGAAAAATGAATTATCAACATGAACTATGACTTTTGATAGAATCTTTTGACTAACGCAAACGCTGCAGTTGTTTGCTCCGCCTTTTTGAGGCGGGGCGTAATATTCATATGTCCGTAGGTTATAGATTAAATCGATTATATGATATTGAGTATTTTTTAATTTATAACTTCAAAAATATCTTACTATAAATAATATGACGTTATAATTTATGCACAAAATTACCTTTTGGACATTACTGCAAATGCACTTCTATTAATCACTTTTATTTAGAGATTTTTAAATAAATACAAAATGGCGACCTCCTTTAAGAAAACAATCGTGAAAAATTACGCAAAAGTTGGCGAAAAAGTTACAAGTGATACAATATACTGGAAAAAATTACAGGTAATTAAACATGCCAGAGAAAATGTATTCATGGAGAAAGTTTGTTGACGTTGTTTTTGCCTAACGGTAACAAAAACAGTAAACAAATGTGCTCACGTTTTATGTTTGTCTGTACCCCACCCACCATCACTATACTATTTCGATGACAGAAAACTTAATGTTGCAAGATGATAGAGATAGTACATAGTTTCGTAAAGAAAATCCATTGCTGTTGTTGGGTCTGCAACGGGTAAGTCAGGCAAACAAATGAAATTAAAACGATTGACACAAAATTTTGATCTTTAAACCATTAACTAAGTAAACTCATTAAAAACATGTTGCAGGATAAACAATTGATCTAGTTGGTATCATCTACACGTTTGTGTAATGTCTTGATGGTACAGACATCGCAGGCTTGGGCTTTCATTTAGTAGGCAAAACCTAAGACTGTACGGAGAAGTAAGATAAAAATATTTTCATTAATTTTTTATTTTACATTTTATGTTTTAACAGCGTTTTTTTCTCTACTTTGGGAATGGTGCCGGTACCAGACTGATTGGGAAAAAATGCGTTATTTTGACTTAAATTGGGAAAAAAATTATGCAATTTTTTCAGCTACAAATAAGATAAGTCATCATGAATAAAGATAGCTAACAGTTTCCACTGTCCAGGTAGAACTATTGAGTGATGATTAATACGGGGAAGTCAAAGCCCGGGGCCGCGAAGCGGCTCCGGGATTTGGCTTGCCCGGCTATAGACTACACCTGTATATTTAAAAGAAAATCAAATAAAAAACAATTAAAAAATATATAGAATTCTATACCTATCAATAAAATTTTCAGTGTCAGTTCTAGTTAGGCGCGGCCATTTACAATGTAACTCAATGATAAAAGACGGTGTATTCCGATAACGGAACAAATCTCAACTTTTCGGATAAATAATAAACGTCGAGTGTTCCGAGTGAAAACAGAAGTGGTGTTTAAAATACCGAATGACACCTTTAAAACGGAAAAATGAAAGGACTTTTTAACGACTTCCCCGTTCATAGGCTTTGCCTAATTTCATATTATGAATATGTTGGATTTAAATGATTTCAGAGAAATCACTGGGCCTTGTGGAAATTTTGAACAGTCATTTTGGGAATTTAAACATAGGAAATTGGTAATTTTAATGTCTATTTTCTATTGGGAACAGTATGGTTTTAGGGTAGTTGTTATATAAAGAAAAAAAACACTTGTTTTAAAGATGCCATTTGGTATTTCATGCATCTCTTCTGTTTTCAATCTGAACACCTCAACGATTATCCCTAAGCCGAAAAGTTGTGATTGTTGCGTTTTCAGAATACCCTGCTGTTATCATTGAGTTACATTAATGAATTAAGATTATAATAAGATTGGTGGTGCCCGCCCCAACTAGTACTGACACTGAAAATTTTACTGATAGGTATGGAAAGCTATATATTATTTAATTGTTCTTATTTGATTACCTTTTAAATTTATTCATGTTGTTTTCTTGGTCCCAGCCTTTGACTTCCCTGTATAACCTCATCCATAGGAAAGAGTAGTTTTCTTTCATGCAGTTATGGGACCAAAATAGGGCCATATTCACAAAGCCATTGAAAGAGTGTCTAATTTTCTCAAACCGCATGCAGACAAAGAAGTGCCTTCTGTTATTTAATTTACTTTGTTTGATTTAAAAGGAGTACTTTGCATATGACATCATCGCAATAATTTGTATGGCAATGTAAAGAGTGTCAATAGATCATGTTAATGCCAGCTTAATGTATCTAGTTTTCGCAATGAAGAAATTCAGTTGTCTGCTGATAAAACAAAAGATTATAGCCCTCTGGACAACTTTGTTTAATATAAACATTTTGATCAAAATAACAATGAAGGTAAACAATATGAGCATGAACCCCCAGTAGAAACCGTAGCTGTGAGTAGTGAAAAAGTCGAAATTTCAAGTGGCTTTCTGCTCATTATTGGCTACGTAATGGTCACCAGTTTAGGGAGCATTCATCACCTTTTGAGGTATGTATTTTAACCTTTCCTAAGTAGAAACAAAGAGCTTACTTTCATCTATATTGATGAATTTAATCTGAATAGAGAGCTTATAGAAGGCAGGTTATTGTAATCATCTGCTTTCTCATGCATGATTATTAATTTTCTTGCACAAAGAACTCCTATACTTTGTTGCATTACTATGTACCTTTAGCAGTGGAATTGTGACACCTAAATTGTACAATATCTTATGGGCATAAAAGCCAGTGTTTTTTTTTCCTTTATATATAACTGATACTGGAAAACGGCACTGTTCCAAATACATGTAGAAAATAGACAGCAAATTCCCAATTCATGACTGATAAATTCCCAAAATATCACTCAAAAATCAGCAAATTTATAAGTAAACAAAAACAGTAATGGATGTTATATACGATAAAAACCAAGTATAACTACATTAGAGATATTCGTACCTAGTTCATTTCGTACTTTTGGTGTTTCACAGTCAAACATTATTTATGTACAATTGTTTTCAGAGTTTTTTTTCAACCTCAGGTAGCAAAAATAATCATTTAAGTTAATAATACTTGTTTTAAATTGTATATTATGCATAATTTTCATGTCTTCCTGGATAAAAGAAATTCCTAATGAATATTTTGCATCATATGAAAAATTCCCAATTTGAGTCGAACGGATGCTCTTTTCCCAATCTGTCCGGTACCGGCACCATTCCCAAAGCAGGGAAAAAAACACTGAAAGCATAATATACAATCATATCAATGTACCTGTTAAATACATTTTCATTTGCAAAGGAGATTTATTGTGTAAGATGCTGTTAATTAGAACTGCAGATCTATGCAGGGATGTTAGCAGCTTTTGTCATGCGGTGTAATACTGGTTAACGGAAACAGTTCCTGTGAGCAAGAGCACTTCTAGATCATTTGTCATACCAATGATTATTATGTGTTTGTAGTGAAATGAAATTAAATTTTAAAATGTGTGGTAATTAAATAGATCAGTCAACTCTTGTTACATGTAGCATTACAAGTGTGTACATGTTACCTGACAACTGAACATCAAATAATACTCAAGGAGTTCACTAGCCATGAAATCCTGAGGGTCATTTTGACTAAGTTTTACTTTTTACCGACTACATGGCCAAATCCCTAAAATTTAACAAAATTTGACCCTCCAGTTAAAATCCTGAGGGTCAAATCAGGTCTTTAAGAAATTTGAAGGGTCAAAGAGTCATTTCAAGGGTCAAACGGACACCCTGATACTTAAACAACAGCTTAATAGGGCTGTGATTGAATATTGCAATATCGATATATCATCAATATTTATCATCCGATACAGTATCGATAAACACTTTGAAATATCGATACAAGCTAAAATTTATTTATTTCTTTCAGTGCATAAACCTCTCTATTTAAGTCACTTTTTCCCAGTTTTCTTGGCTAACTTGAACTTTAAACTTCATTTTCAAATGTCAGTGGCAAAATAACAGAAAAAAACAACTTTTGTTAGTTTGTAGTATTTGTAATGTCTAAAACAAGCATGCATATCACCATGATCCCAATTTATAATGCATATTTAAATGTTTTTCATTGTACTTACTGTCAAAGTCTATATATCGATATATCGTCGATATTTGTCTCTGGATATATTGATACAAAATTTTCCATCAATGACAGACCTACAGCTTAACATTGAATATAACCATTTTTACTGTAAAGAATTTTCAAATATAGTTATAGATTTATAGTAATAATATCCAAGACTAGAAAAACAATTGAAACTTATAAAAGCTAAATTTGACCGCTCTGACTTATACCATGTAACATGTTTGTCCGGCATGTTTATGGACCAGTTGCATGGGATCCTACGATGTAGTGAGTGCAAGTGATCGTGGGAGACGTAAAGATAATAAATATTAGAATAATTTTTTAGCCGACCTCTGTCCCTCCATTGCCAGCTCCCAATGCAGTAGTTTTGTTTTGGTGCCAATATAGCAGGGATAAAATCACATGACCAACTTAAAGGTGGGGGTGGGGGAATTTAACTGAGATTATACTTCTATATCTGAATGTTCTCACAGCTTGGGGTCTTTACATAAAAAAGTTCCTCCTAGTCCTCTTTGGCCGGGAGTTACAATTTAGATTGGCATCATGCTTTAACCGTTACACAGTTTAAGGAATAGACCTGTCTTGTTTGTATATTTGTTCGTTGTTAGTTTTGTTAACCCATAACCCTCTAAATTTCTTAAATTGAATTTTCCAGCTTCCATTTAGGAGCTGTCCATTGCCAATTTTGAGAATATCAGGCTTCGAAATCATTCAAATGAAAACAGATATGTTTAATATGGGCAACTGATTCTAGCCATGCAACCAGTGCAGACCAAGTTCAGTCGGCTTATCTGATCATGGTCTGCACTCTTTGCTCTTCAGTGGATAGTTATTTTGAAATTTTCCTTAGAAAATGATGAATGACACGTCCATAAAAGGTATTTAGCGTGGTGAGGGTTACGACTTTATTCATTCAGGATCATTGAATGTCCAGCACTTTTAAGCGTTGAGAATTGAATACCGCTTTAGGGGGCGTGAGGGATGTTGCATTTTTTCATTATCCCTCTTATACAAACTCAATCAAACTGAGTCTGCAATTTTCATGTAATTTTGATGTTTTTAATGCTTCCGAGGATAACATTTTTTCCAGATATTAATCTTGTTGTATTTATATATTTTATATATTTTCAGACACCCATCATAAAGAAAGAGTATGGAGCCATCACTCACATTGACTTTAGCCCAGTGTCTCCATATGAGCTTGCAGTCACCAATTCTACACGGGTAAGATACAAAAAAATAATTTATTTATTTTGTTTACACTGTAACATGTATACCTGTAGGATAAATCTGGGCTTTGATGGAAGAGCTAAGTCCTTTTTAAGCCCCTCTTCTTATGACAAACTTTCACCACTACTTTATGTTGGTTTCACCACTGTTACATCTATGTATATATGCACATATGCAGCTTTTAGTTTACACTGCTGTATAATTTTTACAGCTTAATGCTATAGTTAACATTTTAAATTTTATATGGTACCCACTCCTATCCATTATTGATCCAGCTTGATTTTAAATTCTCAACACTTTTTGAGTCTCTACTACACTTTTAGGCAAATTATCACATGACATGCAAAGAGTTTTTTACAGCGAAGCATATTTTCTAGTTTTAAATTATGATTTAATAGTTGATTGTCTTATAAGGGGCTTCATTAGCCACAAGGTGATGTTCAATGACTTCAAATCACTTTCCCTTCCACGAAAATAATGTGGGTAAGAATCTGACTATGGGCGTTTGATTCCGCTATACAGTTACCTTATACAACAAGATCAGTGGTTCTACTCATTCACTTTTTACATACGTACATAATTTGGAAAAATATCCCTAAAAATGGTGAATGGTTTAGTCCAGTGTAAAAGATGGTCAAGTCCATTTCAGATTCAATGTATTTAGCGTGGTAAGGGTTCCTCCTGGGCCCCTTGCCACTGGTTCTTGTTGCTGAGTCATGTAGGGGCTGCGTTCATTGAACGCCCCATTTCCTTGTTGATCTTGTTTATTATATATTAAGATAGTGCATGCGATTCTCTTGTTTTAACAGCTAATGAGAAACTTAATCGAGGGTTCCCTGTAAAACAGTCGTATCTCATTAACTTTTTACATTGATAATTTACTCTATTAAATTGTCAGGATGGTTTGTTGACTTAGAGAGTACATTTAGTTAGTCTCTAGACATTTAGAACGATCCATGCGTTTATACATAACGTATAATATTTGTTATAAATAACTGAATTATAATTGGACTTTTTGATTCGAAAAGTAACGCCACTTTCTTCTGTTGATGCTATTGATTCACGTTGTTATAAATTACTGTATATCATTCATAAAAGCATAAATATTTAATGCGCTTAAATTTTTATCGGTGCTCAAAGGGACCCCTTCGGTATGCATGATTTTCCTTTCATTTAAAAATGATTTTATAAGCATGTAAATAAATTATACATGCAGTAATTGCTGTTAATTTCATATTTGTTATAAGCCCGAAAAATTTTTGGTGTATTTTGTTTTTATTGTTTGTTATAAATGTCATAATACGGCACCATACATCAGATTATTCATGTACATGCCATATTTATCGTTTTTTGTTTAACTCAATGCAATTGTGTATTAAGCGTATCTAATATTGTGACTGAAGGAAGAAAAAATATTTCAAAGGAAGAAAAGAGAAAAGTTTGTCTATGGGGACTGTTACATCTATTACGTTTAAATATTCAACAGTCATTTTATTTCTGGACAAATACTCATTAATTTGTATTTCACATGTAATTAGAACATTTAATCGAACTCGTGGGTTGATAAATGCGTTTCAATGGGTCTTTTCATCTACATATTGTCGTTAGAGCGTTGAATATTAAAAAAAACCAATGTTTGTAATATCCGAGTGTGAAATTATTCCTGTATGTCCTAAGCCCAGTCATACCCTAGTTGACTTTGAACTAGCTCTGAACTAACTTGAGGAAGTTTTAAATCAAGTTTAGATGGTAACAAAGTTTTCATAACAAGTTTTAAAAATATTATCCCAGTATTCTCAATACTAATTATCAAAATCTAAAAAAGTTTTGTGAGGACATCATTTTTCAGCTTAAAGAAAAGAGAGAGCAATTCCTTGTGTGCAAGTTTTTAGGCATTTGCTTGAAATTCAGATTTTTATCCCCCGCCGAAAATTTTCGGCGGAGGATATAGAAATAGTCTCCGTCCGTCCGACCTTCCGTCCTTCCGTCCGTCCGTCCTTCCGTCCGACATCTTTGTCCAGAGCATATCTCTAAAAGTATTTGAGTTATCAACTTGAAACTTCATAGGTGGATAGACCTCATTGAGGAGGAGTGCAGTGCACAAGAATGATAACTCTACCTTGCATGATTTTTGAGTTATTGCCCTTTGTTATTTTTCAAAATTGATTTTTGTCCAGAGCATAACTCCAAAAGCCTATGAGATATTAACATGAAACTTCATAGGTGCATAGATCTCACTCAAGAGGTGTGCAGTGCACATGAATGATAACTCTACCTTTCATAATTTTTGAGTTATTGCCCTTTGTTATTTTTCATACCTAATTTTTCACCTGAGTGGGTCATAACTCAAAAAGTGTTTGAGATATCAACATGAAATGTCATAGGTGGATAGATCTTATTGAGGAGGAATGTTATATGTGGATAGACCTCATTGAGGAGGAGTGCAGTGCATAAGAATGATAACTCTACCTTGCATGATTTTTGAGTTATTACCCTTTGTTATTTTTCAAAATTGATTTTTGTCCAGAGCATAACTCCAAAAGCCTATGAGATATTAACATGAAACTTCATAGGTGCATAGATCTCACTCAGGAGGTGTGCAGTGCACATGAATGATAACTCTACCTTTCATAATTTTTGAGTTATTGCCCTTTGTTATTTTTCATACCTAATTTTTCACCTGAGTGGAGCATAACTCAAAAAGTGTGTGAGATATCAACATGAAATGTCTTAGTTGGATAGATCTTATTGAGGAGGAATGTTGTGCGCAAGAATGATAACTCTTCCCTATACAATTTTTGAGTTATTGCCCTTTGTTTTTTTTATGCTATTTTGTCCAGAGCTTATCTCAAAAAGTATTTGATGTATCAACTTGAAACTTCAAAGGCGGATGGATCTCATTGAGGAGGAGTGCAGTGCTTAAGAATGATAACTCTACCCTGCATTATTTTTGAGTTATTGCCCTTTGTTATTTTCAGCCATCAGTATTCACATAGGTTTCAAAGCTGTAATCACTATAGCCATCAGTTTTCATTACCAAAAGACCTCTTAAAATAGAATTATTCTGTTCTACTACATATACATTCTTCCAATGAGCAAACACATTCGGCGGGGGATGGCCATGTTGACATGGCTCTTGTTTTTCTACTCTTGAAAAGCTCTGTTTTTTTTATATAAAACCAATTGAAATAATACTAAGTGCAGGGTTTTCAGGTTTTCTGAAATTTTTAACTTGCACCAATGCTATAATTGTGCTTACGGTACCCATATGTTAATGTCACACTTTGGTAAAAGTTTTATTTGTTAGGAAGTTGGTATCTCCAAAACTACTGAAGGGAATCGGTTGAAACTTTATTTGTCAAAATCTTGTGAAATCAGAATGTTTCAACTATATGAATTACTAAATGCCAGGGGAGATAATTTTAGTTATTCCAGACTACATTTTTTCCACATTTTAGTTATTCCAGACTACATTTTATAATATACTAAAATTTAAAGAAAGGTGAAAACATTCAAGATCCAAATGATATTAACATGTTATATGCTTTTTAAGACTGCTTTTGCATATTTCTACTGCTTTACTAAAAATTTCCAAAATTTTCATGAAAATTAACATGAATCTGGAGGCGAGCTGCTTTAAAAGTTCTCCAACCATTACAATACTCGTTAAATTTCCACGAGCCAGACGAGAATCGTTTCAATTAAAACAATAGGTTGCGATTTAAAGTCGTGGTCTGCTGGAGGGGGGCAGGGTGGGGGTGGCTACTGAATCTAACCATGTGGCAAGTGACCAAGATTAGCTGGCATATCAAGGGTGTCTTATCATAGGCTGGACTGTTCGACTGTCAGTCAGGACTTATTTTGAAAATATTTCCCTAAAAGTTTTCAATGTTTTTGTCCGTATTGAAAGACAGACAAGTCAAGATGTCAACTTTAAGATGTCAAGGTTGCAATTTAAAATTAGATGCCCTAGATTAGTCAGCTTAATTGAATTGTTTAACAAGAAAAAGTGAATTATTGAATTTGCTCAAATTTTTTTCTAAAATTCTGTTTTTTCTTTCTGTTTATATTAGGCTGGTGTAAAAGGAGATGTTACAAGTAATAAATTTTTACTACATTATTTAGATTACTGCATGAATTTTTCATGGCGAATGCTAGATTTAGATTTGTAAATCAGACCCGCGTAGCAGTTCAATGTTTAATTTTGCCTGAGATATAAGCCAGTGTGGGTATATTATATATTTGAGTAGATCCAAACACTTAATTCCCAATAGTTTAAGTACACAGTGCTTCTTTGCCCATTTATTAATTACCGGGTGGTAAAGTACATGTTTATTTTGTGTCATTTTTTCGTATAGATGCTTGTTACTACATAGAATCAAACATTTGAGAGATTGTGATTAGAAATATTTACCGTAGAGACAAAAGTCAATGAAGTTGACGCATACTTGGCTTCGCGTATTTTGTTATGGAATATGCCATAAATATCCATTATTTTGATTACCCCTTGATGCGAAAACACCGTAGTTTGAATATGTAAGCAAGTTAGTTCCGTTTTATTTCATCTTCATCATAACAGATATATGCAGAATTATTATTTAGTGCTGTCAAAAGCCTAAGTGCTTCGCTATTTTAGATTAAGTTTTGTAATCACTGTAAAAAATGTAAAGAAAATTGCAGAAATTTATTTTTTTTCTCCCCGAATTTCTGGAAAAAAAAATTCAGAAAATAAGGCTCAAAACAAAGATTTAAATAGATTAGTTGTTTTTGCTACTTGTCATAAAAATATTTCTCGCGCATGATCTAAGGGAAAGCTGAATAATCCCTCATAAACCACGGCAAGATTTTATTTCGTAAAATCATTTAATTTTCCTGCTATTAATTTTGAACTTTTGGCTTAAATTGAAGTTTCTTACAGTGTGATGTCTTTACACAGAACTAATATTTAATTATACGTATTTTTAGATGAAATAAACGAAAATTTTGTTAATTTA